AGGGGTACGAAATTTCGAGAGTTGACAGATTTGCACCGCCTTTGCTATGTCGCGAAAGGTGTGCAGTAGGGCGAGAGATATGCTACTGTCTCTCAGACACGTATTTTCTACGAAACTAGACATCAAATTTGCGTTGATCGCCTTACACTAGATCTCTCGAGAGCAACAGACAAAGTGGAAGCAACTGTACGAGGTTACAAAAAAATTCGCGCAAACCGCTCCGCTTCGCGTCATGTCGCGCATAAGCGGCCTCGATTGCTTCCAGTGGAGAATTGGGTACTCGGCTGAGAGAGTACCGACCCTCAGCCGTGGGAGTTCAATGCACTTCGGTGTCCCGGTCCCCAATTGTAAATCACTTTCTGTTTTCGAAAAGTTGATCTCTACCTCCTAGACTAATCAGAGGCTGAAGAAGCCATAGACCCGTCCTCTCACCTTCCGACGGCGTGGTCTCGACGAACCAACTTCAACTATCACCATCAGTGCCGCCACGACGATCAAGCGATAGACCATAGAAAACATCTCCTCGAGAGGGTAACTCTGGAAGAGATCACTCAGTGCTTCGAAGAGATTCACTCAACACTAATGACATTCTATTTGAACAAATCTCTGTGACGACTCCATCATTCGCTCAGTTGGCGTCAGACATGGTACAACCTCACCTTTACCCACTGAAAAGCTTACTTGTTCGAACCTATCAGTTGGAGTACGACAAAGCATAAGGCTCAGCTTGGAACCCCATCTAAGAAATCTCGTAGACAGTAACATCCTCATGTGTGGTATAAAATTAATACTCGCACCCAACGGGGCCATGATGATTGTCATCCATTTTCATGCAAAAGGAGTTGTTCTGCGTTGTGTCTTTTCGTCCCTTGTTTAGACGCAAACGACATTTACTAACCCTATGCAAATCTTAGCGCGGAGGGGCCTTTATACATTCATTTACTATGTTAAATGAGCTTCCACAAAGTCTTGTACTTTGCGTTAATCCCTTATCATTTAAACTTTCGGGATAGGGCGAGGGCCCAGTAGACTTCACTCGCCGACGATGACTTTCTGACGCGCTTCGTGGGGGAGAAATCGTGCGCAGACGATTGAGAGCGTCCAATACTTCGACCCTATGTAACAGCCACATGTCGGCATCACATAAATCCATGCAGTATACTCCTTGACACCGCACTCAAGCCGTTACTTTCTTTCCACTCTGCTACATCTCACCTTCCCCTACCGATGAAGATGACAATCGGGATTAGCACCCAGTAGAGGGGAAGGCTGGGAACTCCCACCTCCTGAAGAGAATTGATTACCACAACAAGTCGGCCACCACGAAACCAAACAACATCACGGAATAGAGAACAACGACAAAGTGGAGGCAATAGGAGAATACCTCCTCCTCGTAGAAGCGACTGAGGCTCCGCAAAAGACCGTCAATGAGGAAAGCTACCATAATCTTCGGTGAGCAACTTCAGACGATTCGACAGAGTAACCAAAAGCTATAGCCTCTACACTACGTCTGAAACGGAGGTGATCATGATGACCCGGTCATCAGATATGAAAACAACAATCACGCTGGTCAAGTGATGATATTACATACAGGAACTTATCGTACTCCACTACTGATAGAGTAATCGGCTCGAGAAAGAGAACAACCCAATAAGGGAAACACTACCAGGCGTAGCGACCAAAATACATAGCATATACGATATATGATATACCTTTACGACGGGGGACAGCACTCAAAGCCTGCCCTGACGAGACAGATCCACAACCACTAGATGAAGGAGTAGTACTCGGAATACTACCCCTCTGAGAATAAATATTATACTAGATGGTTGGAAAATGTGATGGCAGCGGAAAATTGCCCCTGAAAATACACGGGTACCACTAGAGGTACTTCAAGAGGCTTCTGTTTGATGTTGCGAATCACCATGTAAAGATTCCATAACTGCACTGTGAAGATTTCTTTCCTAACGGCCAGGGGAATCTTTACTGGTGCGGGACCGTTAGCATAGGCCTCTTCATCAGGAGATGATGTGAAACAGCTGCCTTTGAGTGGACAAGCATGACTATGTACCATGTATTTTTCGATATAGTGGAAATTCTCAATCCATCACAAGTCCTACTTCACTTGCATGTCTTGCTCTCTCTTACATTTCCTCAACGGGTCTATCTCGACAAAGGGTAAAATGGCCGACTGTGAATTCATAACCCCCAAGGGCTCCTCCGAACGATGTAATACCCCTGCCCGAGGGAACTGCCCTTGAGGGCGTATCTCAGGCTCGTTCCGGTCAGTGGCAGTGGCTGAGGGCCTCAACGTAGATGTGGTGTCTTCTATTAAAGGCGACTTCGATTCTGATGTCGACCTGAAATCAGGTTTCCGTGTGTGGGAGTGCAGTCTTGATCTTGCGAGGTAGTACCATCCAGCTAGTGCGAGAGTAGATGCTATCGCTTTTGGAGGAATCTATTTTCGCTTTCCCCAGCTGAGCTCAGGAGTTTCCTCGCTAATTATACAAGTTCGGGTAGAAGTGTGCGGAAACCAACAATAGTTTCCCAAAATTCACCGACACATGTAGTTGACCATGTGCATATTTTTCCACACCGGCTATAGTGGAACTTGATCAGTGCACTATGTGAATTACTTTCCGAACTTTTCGGCTTAGTTGCAACACCTTTAGTCGCCGCTCACACTCAAACGGCGGGTCCAACTTCCTCACTCGAAAACAATTCCGGCCCTTTAGGGTTCCTCTCGAACTGACCCCTTCTAATTTGCACGGCATTGTAGGTTAATTCTTTAGAAAATGCCATTACATGGGATATTTCGCTTGCCCACCTCTTTCCTCAGGTACATCTACGAGCACCCATTCCCAGTCACCAGAGTCCTCGAGCTCGGCTGTGGACATGCCCTTCCTACTTTAGCAGTACTAATACCACCTATAGTCGTCTCCTTACATCGATCGGATCAGGCCCTTAGCCGCTCTCCTGGTGCTTCTGCGTACGTGCATGATCTGGACCCCCTAGTGTTACAGCATATCACTGCGCCTAACATGAGTCGCTCTCTAGGAGGTGCTGGAGTAGCCCAGCCGGTCCGGTGAGTTCTCTCTCTATCGTGGTTAACCGTCATTCGTGGTGATTAGGTACGTTACGGGGCCTTGGGGAGAGGACCTAGCACAGCTGCTGAGCACAGAGGCGGGCTCATTCGATTTGATCTTGTCGAGTGAAGGCATTTATAAGTAGTATAATCTTCTCGTGTTTGCCGTGTTTCAACAGAGCCGCGGTGTGCTTTCTCCCGTCCCTCCTCTGAGCTCGGAAAATATGATCGCTTTCCTCAGCTGAGCTCGGGAGCACTTCTACTAGGAGTGTATGAAAACCAACAAGAATTTCCCCAGAATTTTCATAATGTCATCAACGTATGCGGCCGAGCAAATGCATATTTTCCAACACCGGTGAACAGCCTCGGTAGGAAGAGTATCTTCTTCTCATGGCAGGCAGTCTTCATTCGAGTCTTTGCTGACTATGGTCATCTCCTTGCTTGATCCGATAAATGGTGTGGCCTTGTTCGCTGGCAAGAGGTTGTACTTTGGTTGTGGAGGCGGCACGGCTCCCTTCATGAGGTGAGTTACACAGGTGGAATTTCGTGGCGCGTGACAAAACTGTCACCTTTGTAGTTTTATCGAGGAACACTATTCGGAGGCCTTGACGTGCCGGTCTGTAGCTCTCTTTGAAGATGCTCGTAGCAATATAAGAGAAATTGTTGAGGTCAGGAAGAAGAGCAGAAAATAAAGGCGAAGACTTTTCGCGCTCACATCTACGTCATTCGCCATTATGGTGTTGAGTTTTGTGGCGCGTGACGGTTTGGTAGAGTTTTGCCCAACCTAAAATATGGACGCCATTTCTGCCGGGGTGCTACCTGGAGAGGACACTAAGACTCTTCCTAACATGAGGCATGCTCAGGATAGGTAATGCATATCGAGTGGTTAGAAATCTTCGCTGTGCGGTTTCATTGGGTTGAAGGATATCTTAGTAGTTGGGAAGAGTGATTTTTCTTTTGTGGTCGGAAAAGTTGCATAAAGTTGCGTGTTTAGGTTCATACTACAATGCGCTGATGATGTTTATTCGCAACAGGAGAAAGATGAGGCTAAAGGCAGGCTAATGGATGCCATCAGGGAACAGAGTAATGGTGGTGAAAATGGCGAAATATGAAATGCTTCGCTCCGCCTGTTAGGTCAAAGCGTATGGTATAAGCAGCTTTGCGAGGAGTTTGGATGGGCCCCTGATGAGAAACTGGTAGTCAGTTTCCTTCGCCGTTTATTATTCATAATAACCGGCTGAGTTTTTCAAGGTAGCCGATATGAAAGTGAAAAATGAGGAGGAATTGCAGAAGCTGCAGCTGAACATTGACGGTAATGAAGATGCTATTTTATGTCGATTGCCGCCGACTGGCGTTGTGTCAGATGCCCAGGAAAATTTGGGAGATATCGAGCAGAGGGACGCGATTCTGAATAAGGGGGAGTTCTATCTCAGGATAGGTACGACTGCTTCGCTCCGCTCTAATTGTGTATTATGTTGTTCGAAAACATGCTGAAGTGAAGGTCCAACTCCCTCGCTTTTATTATTGCTATATGTATAGTAAAAAAATTCTGGGGGATTTTTGTCGGGTTTTGTGATTTCTATGTCGAGTCGCGTGAAATTCTCATAAGAGAGAAACTCTTGAGTTCAGCTGAGGAGACGAACTGTATATATTTCGATCAGTGTGAGAGAACATGGTCAACTTCATGTGTTGGGGACGATATGAGAATTTCGAGAAAATTTCGGAAATTTTTTACCGGGAATTCTATAATTAGTGAGGAAACTTCTGAGTTCAGCTGAGGGAAGCGAACATACATTTCACGACTGCTACTCCCCAGTGTATTGTACTTGTCGAAATTCCTAATTACTTCAGGTGACCATGAGAAGGCCGCAGAGGTGTTCGAGGAGGCCTTGAAGATCACAGTCGGCGTCGGGGCCAGATTGGACAACATACTTACTCAGATTCGCATGGACATTTTCTGGTCGGCTCTCGTTGTTTTCCAGATGGGGCTAGGACGGCGTTCGATTTAGGAATGATGTCCCAGGGTGTAAGAAGAACATCGATCGAGCGCATATCGAGTTGTCGAAAGGAGGCGACTGGGAGAGGCGAAACAAGCTGAAGGTTTACGACGGCCTGTGAGTCCCCTTTTGTGCATGCGTGCAATGCTATGAAAATTTGTATTCTTTTCCTCGGCTGTATGCTGTTCATCTGGGAAGCATTCCGGATGACCATGGGAGCGCTCGATGCCCTTGAGCGACTATCGATTCAGGTACCAGATGATGACCAGAGACTTCGAGGCTGCTGCTGGTACGTCGAGCGTCGTGGAGTTGAAGGGCTTCTCATACCATCTTTAGGCCAATTCGTATCGGCACTCCAGACCTTCACAGCCACTGAGCTCATGCCCTTCACCGACTATATTTTCTACACGGTCATCACGTCTATGGTGGCTACCGATCGGAAGACTGTTATGTAAGATAGTCTCGCATACTGCGGCTTCGGGTAATCTTTTTTAATCAGTACTCAAGTGAAAACTTCCCCTGAGGTGTTGTCGGTGGTCGGCGATTTGCCTCCACTGAGGGAGTTCCTCACTAGCCTCTACGACTCGCGCTACAAGGAGTTCTTCCAAGCCTTCGGTACGAGAACTGTGACAGTGGCAGTTCAATCTCTTCTTCCTAGGTGGGGTCATCCAATTGGTGCGAAGGAATCGCTACATGAGTGTTCATTTGAGATATTTCAACCGACAGATGAGGCTGGTGGGGAGTGATCCCATTAGACTTTATAGCGGCATTCGATATTCCTTTCAGAATGCCTATCGACAGTTCCTCGCCTCGTACAAATCCGTAACGTTGCGAATGATGGCTGATGCATTCGGTGTAACTCCACAGTTCATCGATCAGTGAGTACTCATGCCTGCATGTCGCCTCCATCGGCAGTTGTATTAGGGAGCTTTCTTCCTTCATTTCGTCGGGGAAGCTGTCGTGCAAAATCGACAAAGTTAATGGCGTGGTGGAATCGAATGTGCAGGATGAGCGGAATGAAAAATACCAGAAAATGATCAAACAGGTGAAGACATACGATTGAGTCGGTGCATCATTGGTTTTTCAGGGCGATCTTCTCTTGAACAGAATCCAGAAGTTATCGAAGATCATCGATATGTGAATCCTATGGAAAGGTTTCAGTTTTCAGCCCACTTGAGTTCTTGTGTGGTCAGTTGATAGTATCGAGATAAGGCCAACTCCACGTGTAATAGTAATGAATTGGCACAATGCCGATAACCTTTTTTGCATGAGAGATAACACAGATGCACTAGAAGTTAACACTGCATAATTCCGCATGTAAAATCGTCACCCAGTCGTCAGACTGGGTGGAACAGTGATGAATGTGGCTTCTTGTTTTGTACGAGTTCGGACTCGATTCCACTGACGATTGTCCTACCAGTTCGACCTTGGGCGTGTCCAGCTTGTCTCTCCTAGCGAAAAAATAGGGAACTGTATCATCATTTTATCAAGTTTCTGCAGAAGGGCTTATATCAGGGTTTGAACCCAGATCGCCAGGTTGAACGTTTCGGTATATGCCTATGGTGTCACCATAGGTATTACTTATTGAGTAATGGTACATGTACTAGAGTGCACTATCTTTGCCCTACAATCCCATTACGTTGCATTTAACTACCACATCCATATAAGTATAGATGAACAGTACTATAACACGGAACCTCGAATACGTAGGCGAAACTGAGCGGTGGTAACAGCACCATGAACGCGGGTACTACACCAGTACTGTTTGTGCTGGCATGCACACCCTCCATCGATTGGACATGCCATCGATGAGTAAAGGGTGTTAATTCAATAGCAAGAAGCAGTGATCGGTATGTTACAAACACATGCAGACGAAGGCCGTCAATCTTTGGCCGGGAGGTCGGCGACTCAACCACTACGTCCAGCGATAAGAAGATTTCTTAAAGAAATACACGTCGACACATAAGACGCCCGTCTCGTATCACGCCAGAGCTCGCAACACTATGGTACTCCTCGAATGCTTCACCCCTCCAAATTATTCATTCAATCGTATTCGGCAAGCTCTGAACAGGCAGTAGTCCATGTTCTCGATAATGGGAAAATAGGTCCTGAGACGACAGATAGGCTCGCACTAGAGATGGACACTTCCAACTTGCTCGATCATCTCGAAGGCCTCAGTCCTGATGGCTGGTACGAGGCCACCTACCGCTGTCTAGACCGCCATCTCCATTTCCGCCCCGCGCTGAAGCGACATTGTCGCTTTAGCGTGGGGCAATGTTGTCACTGCGACAACATTGTAACACTTCACATCAGGCAGAAGGGAGCGGCTGTGGCATCGGACGAACTATCCCGAATCTATCTTGAATGTCAGCAGCGGTTGCTGAGCAACCGACTGACTTCCTGTCAGTCGCCCAGTAGCCGCCCCTCGACGGGCCGGCACCGGGTTCAGGCTTCTTGGCCTCTACCTGTGGCACTGCCCCTACATCAGACGCGTTTATTGCAAAGGCACCAGGTACCTCATCAAAGGTCCTTTCATGTCCTGTGACATCGACCTCGTGACAGCTCCTGAGGCCACCCTTCGCCGAATGATACAAGAGTTCGGTGTAGTTGATTCAGCTCACTTATAACTCGTTCAATATGCGTTACACACACATGGGTATGAGCCCGGAGTCCGGACCCCGGACTTCTTCCCACTGATAACCGGTCTACCAGGTTGACATTCTATTGCCTGAAGGCGGAGAAATTCGGGAGCACAATTATACTCCAGGAGTTGCTAAATCAAAGCCTAATTTTCAATTGCCCTCCCCATGAAAATGTAGCAACACAAGTACCAGAAACGCTGCCACGTTGGCACGAGCAGGGAGTCAGCATGCTAGCTGTAATGGCATGAGCGTATTCCAAACACTGTAGCCTCGGCCGGGGCCTTGTTGTAATACAACAGACGTGCTGGCACCCCCTATGACTGACCGCTTCTGCAGTGGCTTAGCAAGAAGCAAATGGATACAATGGATCAATAGTCTCTTCTTTCACGGTGAAGATTGGAGAAAGCTTCACCAATCTTCCCATAGTAAGCTCGAAACTTCCGTAGACACCAATTTCCAGCACGAACACTGCCACTGAAATCCGTGCGTTTCTATGCATTGGGACGGACTCACAGCAAAGCGCGGTTTCAAGAGCCAATTATCCACCATGAAAATTCAACTTGACTAGTCAACTTGATCAACGTAGTTATACTCATTCGTTATTCAGGGAATTCAAAGTGATCCACTCACGGGAGCATCCCCTAGCGATATAGCGCCGACCTTGACCCATTCGAGGCAGGGTCTCGTACTCGACACTTACCAACCACTCCACCAGCAACAACACGACAGCCTTGTGTCCAAAAATAAGAGGCAGATGATAGATAGGACATGTCCAACGATTATATGGTTTCAACTGTGATATTTTGACGTTATTTCGCCAACAGTACGATGATGACACTAAAAGAGTCTACAAAGACGAGTTCGAGATGCATATGTATAGGTGAATAAATGCTCCTACAGTGCGCCTACAGTCAGAAGGTGTCAACCAATGCTTTCACTTCCTCATCAATACTCATGTCCTTGAAGTGCTCGATCTCTCTTCTTTTCACAGCGAGGAAATTCTTGAAAAGGCTTTCCCCAAATGCTTGTCTTACCACAGAGTCCGTCTCCAAACGGTCCAACGCTGTACCCAAATCCCGTGGCAGTGACTCATAGTGCGCCGGCCGGTCAGCCAAATCGCACCCAACAGGCGATGGCAAAGGCATTCCGGTCTTGATACCAGCTAGACCGCAGGAAATCACAGCAGCTAGGGCCAGATAAGGATTGCACGTGGCGTCCATACACTTGACCTCGAAATTGTTGGGGAGACCAGTAGCATTCACCGCCAACGTATCGATACCGCACAACCTTACAGGGGCCTCCTTGTCCTCATAAGCCCAACAACGATAAGTACCAGCCCAAAAGCCATCGACCATGCGTCGAAAAGAGTTGGTCGTTGGCATGCTCACAGCAGTAAGAGCACATAAGTGGTCCAATACACCGGCCATGAACTGCTCCCCCTTCACGGACAGGCCATAAGGTCCATTGTCAGACACAAATGCATTGGTACATCCATTCAATGGCTTGCCACCTTCACCAACCTCATAGAAGCTCCAATGGGAATGCATGCCGGAACCAACACATATCTCGCTGGGCTTAGGAAGAAGGCATAGTCCTAGGCCGTGCTTGTCTGCGACCCTATGCAGCGTCTGGCGAATAGTCACCACCGAATCCGCTATTTTCACTGGCTCATCACAGTATCTCACAGATAGCTCGAATTGCCCCCAGGAGGATTCAGCATGGCAAGAGTCAATCGGACGACAACCATTCGGCTGCTGCTCCAAAGCCTCCAGCAGATCCGCCATGAAGCCTGCGAAGCGCGGCTCTGACATGGCGGCATCATCACTAAAATTACAAGGTCGTCCTAAAGGCTTAAACGGCATGCCGACAGGGGCCATGGCAGCTCTCTCGAAGAGCATGAACTCAACCTCGACACCGCACTGTATACGTAGACCGAATTCCTTCTCAGCTCGCAGGCATTGCTCAATGAGCACGGACCGTGGGCATACACCAGGGCGTCCGGATACAGGGTCGAACAAATTGCCATACACATAAGCAGCCGCTCGAGAGACCCCAGGTTCGATCCTCGGCCCCGGCACTATGCTCAGAGTGGAGAAATCCCCGAGCAAGTTGTGAGAACCCTGAGCCGAGGAATCTCCGCAAATAACATCCCCAAAAACTGGAAGGGCGTTCAAGCAGGAAACGAGGGAGACTCCTTTCAGAAGATCTTCCACCGTGCAGCTGTCGTTGAGGACGATCGACTTGCTCCTGATTTGACCACTAACATCACAGGTCACATACCGTAACATGGCCACTTTCATAACCCTAAGGGCGTACAACAGCGCCCGACCAAGGTGAAACTGGTTGGCAGAAAACTCCATCTTCGAGGGAACGAAGTACTTATAATTACACTTGATCTCAGGAAGTGAGTTGAACACCGTAACCTCAGTAGTTCGCACTGAGGCAGCCGCTACAGGAACAGCACTGACAAAGTCTTGACTAACACCGTCAACAGGAATTCCCTCGAGCTCTTCCAAGGCATCATGTGTCGTAATAATCCTCGCGAAACCAGCCATGTTCCTCAGGCCAGCGGTATGGTCTACCTCGCTGAGCGCAACACAGGCATCATCAACCACCGTGACCAGGAAGCCCACATCCGCTGCATCTCGGACACAAGACTCCACGCATTGATTCGTCAGCTGCCCAACCACAAGCAAATGCTTCACGTTCACGTTGCGGAGGACGTACTCAATGTTGGTGCTCTGGAAAACCGAGCAAGAGGTTTTTGGTATCATTATGTCGTCAGCTTCTGGTTCGATTTGGGAGAGTATCTTGGCACCAGGGCTCCCATGGGGGACTAGTAGCGGCCTAGAGGGGCCTCCAGATAACTTGTAGTCGAGACTAGCATCTCTGCAGTCACGAGTCAGAGCTTCTATGTACGTGTAAATGACTTCGTTCTTGACCTTGTCCTTCCGAGCACACTGTAATAGCTTCGAAATGTTACCCACCACCGTGTTCAACTTGGCGAAGAAGTAGGAACCCTCAGAAGACTGATGAGCTTCCCACACGCCTTCCCCAGCCACTGAGCATTGCCGCTGAACGTCAATGACCAACACTGCAGTCCTCCCATAGGAACCAAGCGGCACATCGCGCTGAGATGGCACGCGTAGACCAAAGGCAGAAGAGCCGTTCGAAGCAGAGCAATGAGCTGTCATGTGAGGAACGTGCACAGGTGGCTGGTAACTGAGAGGTCGCTAGTACAGTAGATTACTGGAATCGCCATGTTCGGTTTCGCCGTACGATGATAATACACCGTTGAGGAAAAGATAGCAAGTACATAACACAATGGCGTTGAACGACTTGAGATTTCGACCAAGGTACTTCACTGCGACCCTGCGTAATCGTGGAGGAGATTCGAGTTGTTGCTCACCACCACTGGTGATTCCAACGACGGAAACATGTCGATTCAACTACGGTAGCGGCAACTCCAAGAATACAGTCGAGACTCTCGAGTGTATTCTCAAGAGTTCCAAAGATGTTCTCTGGGCTCAGAGCCCAGAGAAGCATCTGAGAGCATCAGAGATGCATTCTCTCGAGTCGAGAGAATGCAGTGTCGACCCTCCCTCCCAGAGTCTTGATCACTCCATAATTCAATAGCTGTTAGTCGTAGAGTTTGTATGCCCCAATCTGTTCCCCCTTGTTCGCTCCGGCTAGCAGGAATTTTGATCTATTACTCGAACTAGTAGAACTAGGATTGATGTTATAACTGAACGATAACGGGATCTATGACATCGCAAGGTTCCAAGGGTAATCAGTCTCCCCTGTCGTAACAACTCATGACCAACGTATATGAATCGATAAACCGAAGTTCAAGAACGGAATCAAACCCGAGAGTACCATGCACAAGCCCCGACTCATGCAGACTGTTCCCCCAGCAGCAAAGTTGATCTTAACACCTTAGCACTGAGCTAATCGGCATCTTCGAAGAAGCAACTCACTTAACATATGCGACCATCAGAAACGAATACTGCTATCAGGCACAGCAACAGCAATTATCACAGCAGTAGTACAAGTGTAGTTATCAGCTTTTCACTGCCTTGGGTTCTCAGGCATCTCCAACTCGTCACCGAAGCGCATCATGAGAAAGATAGAGAGCGCAAAGCCAATAGCTCTGACAAGAGACAACCAAGTTCAACTCGATTCTCAGAACGTGGTGACGTACCTCAGAGGCGCCTTGTACTTGGGGGCAATGTACTCCTTGGGGGGAGGCGCCATCATACCAGGGAACATCATTTTCAGTGGTGGTAAGGGAAAAAGTACTGAGAAGGACTATGCGATTATATGCACATGATCAACTGCATGTGTCGGTGAGAATATGGAAATTCTGAGGTGTTTTCTGAAGAGGTAACAGCTAGTAGCGCCATCAGCTTCGACGATGGGACCTCCAAGGAGGAGGATCTACCATCGAGCAGCGTAGCTGAATTTCCAGTCCGAGCAGGTTGCGTCACAATCTCTTCCTCGAACATTTTCTCCGTCAGCACAATTTCCGGTCGTCCACATTGTGGACTCCACAGCAGGCTTCCAGAAGACGCTGGAAATCAGAAGGGCCGACGCAACGCCTATCTTAACACTCGGCAATGAGTCGCTGGCCTGACCCAAAATCAGCAGGAGCGAAGCTAGTCACTTTAGTGATATTTCTGGAGTGTCACTACATGGTGGAATGATGGGATGGAAGTGGACTTGTGCAATAGACTGGTGGGTACTGTTGGGCTCACAGGTGCGGAGGACACAAGCGCGGTTGAATATACGTCCGTACCACTCCTTGCACACATCAGCATCTTGTAGGACGGTTACCACCACCTGGTCGTTGGATGTCAGGTCGTCTGCCACTCCAGAAGCGAGAACTTCCTAGCCCGAGTTGATCGAGTTCGGCTAAGGCCCGCAAACTACGATACAAAGATAGCCGGAAGAATAGGTGACGGGACTGGAGACAAGAAGGGTAACAATGAGGGATTCTGAGGAAGAAGAAGGAAGTGGAGGGTTTCCACAGGATGAGAGTCGACGGCACTGCATGGAAAATAGACAGTGCAGGGGGGAGAGGCTGGGTACAGATCCCTACTGCGAAGGTGTAGGCAGATTGGTGTCAGTGGGCGCCTCCTCTATGCATCAGAAATACTGGTTTTTCGGGTATTAGAAAACAAATCTAAAAAATGAATGGAACTGCGAAAATGAAATATTTGAGTATTTCTATCGCACACAGCGAGAGGCATTAACGTGTGCGAGGATGATGATTAGTATATCGGCACGATTTTAACCTACTAACGCGATAAGAATAAAATAGCGAATACTTTTGACAAGCCGATATTTCAAAAGCTGCTATTGATAATATGACCACCTCCCCCACCCAATGCATCAACCTTTTCCTCCCATCTTCCTCTCAGCCCACCTTCCTTTTCCTCTCTAAGGCTCGATCCAAGTCTTCATAGTGAACCCAGTCGACAGCCATACCTCAGGACAGGATTGGATTTGCTCTACGAAGGTGGTTAAGAGCGCTCGCCCTGAATTTTATCTTGGGGGCCCAATCTCAATTAAAAGGTAAATCGTAAGGCTACAGGGTACGATCTAAGGACAAAATCTCGCTCGCCCTCGGACACTTTCTAAGGAAAATTCTGCCATTTTCTAAGGACCTTCAGCCTTTTCCTAAGGAACTTCTGCCTTTTTCTAAGGAAGCCACCTCTCCACTAATGGGTCCTTCCGGCCTTGTTTTGCAGCTTCGCCTTGGATAACAGTCTTGCCTTGGATAACAGTTCGGGTTTCGGGTAGCCTTGGATAACAGTTCGGGTTTCGGGTTGCCCTATCCGGTTTCGGGTGGGGTCTCGGGTTTCCCTTTCCCCGCTTTCACCTACAATCCTTTCTTTTTTTTTGGTTTTGCGGTTTGGGTTCTGCCTTACTGTTAGGGGATCTGGCGGATTTGATCTGCCAAGCTAAATCACGAAGACTCCCTTGAAGGGAGTCCCTTCTACTAACGCAACGCTTCTTAAGCTTTCACAGAACGCTTACCCCTCGCCTGCCTGGAGCTCAAGGCGTCGGAATTCAGTTACATACGTTATTACACAGATAAGTACACCGAGGGGTACTTAGAAAGGCCAATCGGCGACTACCGTGCTGCCAGCACGTTTAAGTGAAAAAATGGGCGAGCGATATTGTTCCCTTGGAAATGGAGATCTTCCTTAGATTTTACCTTTTCACCGCCCAATCTCTAGATCGGGCCTTAAATTCTCTTTTTGGGCCTTAGCGCGATATGTTAAAGCCTTGTTCGATTTTACTGTACCACACACCTATTTGCAGTTACCGAGTTACCCGACTATATCCGAAGCATGTAAAGTATCGAAGGACTACATTTGAGGAGGACTTCATGTTGTCGTTAACCGTAACGTAGCGTACGTTAATCTCGATTGATTGCGACTTATAAGATGCTGCTGCATCATTGTCGCTGGTTTATTAGTTTATAGGTTTATCAGTACGTGTGTCGGTCTTATTTATCGCTGCAAAAAGAAGATTACCTATGATGAGTATTCGTAACGTATAGTTCGTTATACTGCAGTTCTAAAGTATGAGTCTTCGTGACCCAGAGTCACTAACCTTGGTGCAGAAGCATTCCGAGCCGATTGAATTCACATAGCCGTATATATAGCCTATTTTAGTTCGTTCCTATTCTCTCATGCGTCCAAATATATCGTATAAAATCGGCATCCGGTATGGATGGAGAGCTCGGGGACGTGGATTCGCGATTCGATAGTCTAACAGCTATGCAGATTGATAGTCAAGCATTGACTCATCAACCGACGATGAAGGACATGGGGTTAAGCTTCCTTTCGGGGCATGATATCATCAGTCCGGGAGTTTTTACGATGATAAGATAGGATACATCTTAAAGCCTGTAAGTAGGAAGTTGGGTGTCCCGATAACACCTGTAAGTTTCAGATTTTATGTTAAAACTTCTATCGGGATAGCTTCTTCTACATTTGTAGGCTTACCGAACAGGAGTAATTGAGCCGCTTCGTCAATAGGGTAATACACGCTAGAAATACCGTGAGGAGCAGCCTATTGGCGCTCGTAGCAGAGATTGAATAAGCGGCCTAAGCGTTCTCATTTCATTCCAGACTAATGTGAGACAAGTAGTGATGTGGATTATCGCCAGCAGAAGCTATTCTGTGCCTCGCCTCCGCTCTGTTTAGTCATTCGCATAGTGTCTAGTTTCTCAGCCACAGATTTCCATGATACTCTCGTGAGCGAAGATCAACTTTTGGGTGTGTCCCCTGTGTGAGGTGACATTGATATTATTTTAATACCTGATGTAATTTTGCCTTTGGTAGGTTCCAATTACCGCCGAAATGTAAGGTTGGAGGAAGAGATAGTGGACTGATGCTAGCAGGATGAAACAAATGGTATGTCATCCATTTACATAGCGTCCATATTTGCACAATATTCTCACGTTAGCTGTCATATAGTTGCACTATCCACGATGATGTACTGATCGACGTTACTATGATTGCATAACTAGCCGACAGGACAGAAGAACACTCTGTAATATTATCATTTAAATGTAATGGGGCCTAATAAAAGTGGTATTAGAATACAATTAGGGTAGCAAAGCTTAACACTACACCACGTATTAGGGAAAATGTGAATTAACTGCAAATCTTGTATATGATCTGTGCTTGCAATGGGTGCGTGATACCTCTATGTGAGCCTTCTCTTTACTTTGCGACGAACTCCTCTTGCCATCTGAACGTAGTCTGGGCGATCTCCTTGGCGCAGTCTTTTGCGAATTAGGGGGGGTTCCTTCTATCTAAAAATCAAAATCGTGAATATAATCGACTTGGCAATGCTAAGTTGGCACCTCGGCGACGCATCTACATTCCCCGAATTTCCTGATCCTTGCTGAATTCTGAGATGCTCAGGATGTTCTTCGTTTAGTATTTCAGAGTTAACTGGTGTATACCCAGGGCCTGAGCCGCACAATTCAAACTCATATCTCCTAGCTTCCACGAAAAACCCTTGCCTACAGGGAACTGGTCATTTCCCATGTCATCGAGTTGTACAGCCCTCCAAATAAATTTGGAATATCGTGTTTTCCTCGCCGCCAGCTCCAACTGGGACGAGTTACGAAACGAGGTTCATAGAGATAGACGTGTCCAGCTGGATAGCCCAGTCAGCTGCTTCGGTCGCTGCACTCAGTGATATTTCAGCGTATTCAGGTTCCCCTTGCCAAGCGAAATCCTCCACGCATTTCATTATTTGAGTCAGTAGATGACTGAACCGGCAATCTTCTTCAATCCGTCCTGAACAAGGAATGAAGTGAGCTACAAAATCAGCTTTGACTTAGCACTCATCGCTGAGTATAAGCCTTATACTGTAAGGTACCCCGATTACTCACCCCCTTTGATACTGCTGTTTATTCCTTCCACGGCACAACTGTGCCGTGGCACATATCCGGGGATGCCATGACTTCCAACATACCACGTGGAATTATTAGTGAGCCATGAATTCTTGAATGTATCGATTAGAGTTGGATATCCGGGTTGCCACATTTTGACGAACAAGTCTGCGGCATCTTCGAAAATTCCATCGCTGCGCAGCAGTGCAGAACTTTTATATCTCGGTAAAATTCTGCACGTTTATCTGTGGCCGCTGCGGGTGACCCTTCGGTAGTTTTATTGATGTATGTTGGAAGCCACCCACGAAGGGACCGAAGCATATGTGCCCAACAATAAAGTCAGGCGTTGATGAAGTTCAAGTCAGACTTAGATAGCAAGATTATACGAATATGAACGGACGAAGGATGAGAGTAGAAGTATAATCACGGAAGTTGGCGGTGACTCACCCGGCTAGGAACGTCGTGAAGATAGAAGATCCGGATGGTTTGCGGGTTGGGCTTGTCCAGTAAGAGTGCACAGTGCTAACACCACAAATGTGCCACCGATTCACACGTGAAGTATTGTGATGTGTGATCCGGACGGGGAAAATTATGTTGTGGGAGTCCAGTCAATCTTAGACGACGGTTGGAAGCCCGCGATAGCAGCGACTGTATTGAGTCGGGGCTGTATTATGAATATCTTCAACCTTTTCAACGCAAAGGATAGGGCCACTGGTTGTGGAGATCCACCATGTCCGCTGGGCACTGGATTCAGCCTTAGTGTCGATGACCACTTCAGGAGCCTCAGGGGAGTCGGAAGGATAATATTACTGGGTTGCGGTCATGAATGGATGGTGCAAGAAGCTTCAGATTGTTCACCAGCCTTTCATCCTGATAGCTGA